TCATTGCGTCCTAGAAGTGCAGAAACCAGACCTAATAGCTCACAACTCTCGAGGTTTGCAGAACCTGTGTCCGAAAGCTCGGTAGCATGGGGTCCAAGTAGTGCTGCGGGAAGATTGGTATAGTTCTGTTTAGAGAAACATTTACTTCACTAGTATCCGGTTCTTCAATTGTCATCGCTGAATACTTTAGTACTGTGCTTCATCAAAAGGGATAAACTAAATGATCTACTCTTAGCAGTTATTATAGACAGATAGTGATAGAATATATTGATCAGTGATGCATCTGCATTCCCCAAATTCCTCGTTTTCTGAGCTCACCCTGTTGAGGCTATTGTATAATCTCAGCTTCCCTCGTCCCTTCTGTCGCTATATTCCTGCAATTTGAGTTATGGTAATTGTAGTGTTGCATAACGACTTCTCCAGATCCTCATGAATGGAAGGACTAAAAACATATATCTTAACTAATTTGGACAGATCTTAACATTTTCTTAAAAAATAATTTATTTTGGTTAATTGATCTTAGTATATTTGCAGGGTGCGAAATCTTCCAAGGAAGATGGGTTCTCTCTGAGTTCTGGGGATTTTCCTACACTTGGTTCTGACAGAGACAATTCTGTGAAGGATATTGAATTGCAAGGTGTGAATATGTGATTATAGAATTTACATTCGTGGATACTTCTCATGCACGTTAAAATTCTTGGCTCTTTCGCTTGCGAGTCGTGTGCTTTTGACATATCAGAAAACTAGGAAATCAACTATACTTCCAATTAGGAAAGTGACCTATAATTTGAAAAAACAAAAAAATTTAGATGAAATCATTTATCTCCGTGGCAACTTGCCAGAATAATGTAAAGTGGGAGGGTTAACTGTGTGAAGCACTTTCATTGTTGTATTACGAGCAGGCAGTAGTGGTGTTCTCATACATAGTGCCATGTATATCTTCAGTTCTCAGTGAACCTATTGAAATCATTTGCTTATGAATGAAGCAATGGTTTGAAGCAATGGTTATGTTAAAAGAATGTTATGTAAGCTTGCTATTGTGGCCACTTGTTGGGTTTTGGATATGATACCTACTTATCTTTTTGGTAATTCTGATGATGGACCATCTTCTATTTACACCTGTTATCCTCTCAGAATTTTGTCTTAAATCAAATGAAAGATTTTTTTGATGTATGAATATTATCATCATTATTTGCCTTGTTCTCCTTTATAATAATTGGATTTTGGCATATACTTATAAGCAATTTTGGAAACTACTTGACACTTCAAAACAGATGGATGTAGAATGTGTGCGTTACTGACACCTTGGTTGACAATCCCTGACAGATCATGTCTCTCATGACCATCCTAGCTCTGCTTCTGGCAGAATATCTCAGACAGATGGGAAGATTACGGCTCCTCAGGATGGTCAGCACCCATCAATTTTTTAGGACATAAAGTTACATTCAGCTATCAATAAGATTCTGTTCTGTAGAATTTCGTCTAACGTGATACTTCTCTGAGTGCAGTTACCAAGAGTGGAACTAATAATACATGGAAGAGAGATGGTACCCGATCTACAGAGGATGGTATTCATCCTAGCATGGAGAAGTGGCAAGGGGAGCCCCAACAATATTACCACTCCAATGTTCCCCCTCAGCATTTTGATTCATGGCGTGGTCCTCCTATAAATGCTCCAGCTGGCGTTTGGTATAGGGGACCTCCTGGGGGACCGCCATTTGGAGCCCCTGTTGCTCCTGGTGGCTTTCCAATGGAGCCATTCCCTTATCATCGTCCTCAAGTTGTACCTGTGCCTTTAGCTGGTTCACAAGCAGTTCCTCCACCAGGTGCCGCTCCTAGAGGTCCCCATCCAAAAAATGGAGATTTATACAGGGCACAGATGCCCGATGCCTATGCACGCCCAGCTATGCCGTTTGGGCCTGGTTTTTACCCTGGTCCAATGACTTTTGACAATTATTATCGACCACCAATGGGCTATTGCAATGGCAATGAACGTGAAATTCCATACATGGGGATGGCTGCTGGCCACCCTGTGTTTAATAGATATCCTGCCCCAAGTGCTCCCGATCCTAGTTATTCCCATGGCAGAGCAGATGGGCGTGGGTCCACGGGCAAAGCATTGTCGGAAAAAGTGGAAGCTGATCATCTAGAGGGCCCTCAAGGACCCCACAACATTCCGCTAAAGAACCAGAAAGAGTGGGATAGGAAGGAAGAAAGAGAAAATTGGGAACAAAATTTACGGTCTAGTGCCTCACATCGTGGAAAGCATGGTCTTCCCTGGATATCATCCCGGAAAACTGAGTGGGGGGCTGATGATGATGTGGAGGAAGATATATTTGGTGAGCAGACGACACCATATGAGAACGCTCCTCATAATTTTGATAGTCATTCTACGAACACTGTCAAAGTGAAGTCGTTGAAAGGAGGCAATGTCAAAGCAGTTAATGACAATTGGACAAAGAAATCAGAAATTGTGGCATGTTTTCCTCCTGAACAACCAAAGCAAACTCCAGCTAGTGACAGAGATACATCTTTACTGGCCCCAACAAATGATTCAGCTCAAATGCAGAAAATTGAAGTTTTAAATGCAAAAGTCCGTGCAACTGATGGATGTCACGAGGTTCCCTCTGCTTACAACAGGGAAGAGCAAAGGAGTGGGTATCAAGTTGTTGAAGCCAAGTTTAATAATTCTACTGTTGAAGCTGGCAGTACTGCTGGATCTTTTGAAAGGACTTCGGCTTCTGGAGATTTTGTCCCTGTCCCCCACGAAGTGGTTGTTCCAGTAGGAGATAAGATTTCTCAGTCAGCAGCTCTCGTGCCTAGGTCTGATGAAAAATGTTGTTCTGCTATCTTTCACACATATCCATTCCTAAACTTCTTCAAATTTACAGGAGAGCATATCATGGTGGGCGTAGAGTTGACCATCGCGGTAAAGGAAAGTTCTATGGCCAGGATGATGATGGATGGCAGCAGAAGTTTGATGTGATTACAGCTTCAAATATTGAATCTTCAAATGATATTCATGCATGTGGTTCTGAGGATACTGAGAACTCAGTGATCCATTCTGTGATGGATGGAGGACAACCTCGTGCAGAGTCATATGATTCAACTGAAATCCAGGCACAGGTTTTATATTTAAATGTCAACTAATTTTATTTCTCACTTGCTTAATGTATGTAAGTTTTTATTTGGCCTTGTGTTTATGTATTCAATCAGCGTGCAAAGATGAGAGAGACAGCAAAGCAACGTGCCTTACAACTACAGAAGGAAGAGGAAGAAAGAACGAGAGAGCAGAAGGCCAAGGCTTTGGCTAAATTGGAAGAACTGAATCGGCGAACACAAGCAGGTGAAGCTGGAAACCAGAAAGCCGAGAGAACTCAGGGAACCCAGAATGCTGAGACAGCTCAGGGGATTGGTGTCTTCCAGGGAGAGCAAAAGGAAACACACGCACTTGCTGAACAAGCAATGGTTAACCTCAAGTTCCAGGCACCTGGCCCTAATTTGGTCTCAGCGTCTGGCGTTGTTTCTAACGACAGAGAGAGCGGTGCTAGCCATCATAGAGGATCTCCTAATATTTCCAGAGATTTACCCATGGAGACACCTTGGGCATCTCATTTGGAACACATTTCTCATGGTCAGTCTTCGCCTTTGAAACAGGATTCTTATAATGCGGGTACCATAAACGCATTCGAATCTACTGATGAAAGTGTCTCTGGACATAAGCAAATATTATGTAAACAAAAGCCAAATGATCCATCACAGAAGAATTCAAATGAAAAGTCAGCGCTAATTGTCACAGTTGAGGCTCCGAAAGATCTCACTGATGTATACGTTAATGATGTTACCTTGACGGAGGTTGCTTCAAGTGTCAGAGCAAGTGGCGAGACAAATGCCCTGAATACCTCCAATATCATGGCTGAACCCACCACACATCAGAGAAGGAAAAGTTATAGGCGTAGTAAGCATAAGCAGAGACTAGACGAGGCTGCTGTAATCTCTCCAATACTGTCAGCAACACTGGAGGAGACTAATCGTGCAAAAGAGTCCATTGAAACTGGCAAGTCCAAGGCTGTGCTGTCAGTTTTGGATAGCTCAGTCTCAGCAAAGATTGAGCCTGATGGAGGAGTGCAGGCTTCTGAGGTGCAGTCTACTTTCCATGATGAAGCAGTCCATAGCAGAGTAAGCAAACAGTGGAAATCTCAGTCCCGCAGAATGCCACGAAGTCTACAGGCCAATAGGATTGTGGAAAAATTTCATAGCAATGACAATATAATGTGGGCTCCTGTGCGTTCACAAAGCAAAGTTGAGGGTGCAGTTGAAGCAAGTCAAAAATCTACTCCTGAATCTGCGACTCCAGCGAAGATTGATAATCTGGTGCAGAATAGTTCAAAAGGCAAAAGGGCTGAAATGGAGAGATATGTTCCGAAGCCTGTGGCTAAGGAGCTGGCACAGCAAGGAAGTATTCAACCAGTGCCATTATCAACTAGTCCTACACTAGAAGAGGCTGCTGGTAAAGCACAACCTGAGTCAGCGGGATCTGCAAGTCCGCCACCTAAGAGCTCTGCAACTGGAATTGTTGGGTCTGGTGTAGACTTCAAGGAGGGAGATGGCAGGCATAACAAGCAAGGAAAAGCACATGGAACATGGCAACAACAGAATTTTACAGAACCATCGAATAGGAAGAGTGTGCATCATGGACCATCTTCTACTTCTAACCCAAGCAAGGACATTCAAAGATCCACGGTCCAAAATCAATTTGTGAAGCGTGAAGTAAATGCACCAAAAGCTGAATCACATATTACCAGAGAGAACAACACGTTGGATAGCAGTAACATGTCCAATGTTATTGAATCAGCTGCAGCTGGAAAATCTCTTGCTGTGAAAGATCAGATAACAGGTAGGGGAAAGCGATATCTATCCAAGGGCCATAAAAGCATGGGAAACAATAATGATCCTGAACACATGAATATTGTTACCAGTGAATCTGCAGCTACTGATGTGAACCAGACAGACAGAACTATTTCTTCAAAAGAAAGTCACAGCTCTGGGGAGCGAATATCATCTCATTGGCAGCCCAAGCCTAACACAAATTCAGAAAATAATCAGAACCGTGGCAGAGCTGCTGGAACTGGAACTATTAATGTGGAAACTGATAGGGCTTCAAAAAGGGATCATCGTCCCCAGCGTAAGGTGCATGTTCCACCTCAAGATGACAAAAAAAACTGTGAAGTTGATCGACCTCATCCAGATGAGTCTGTCCCTGAAAATAATATGGCTGATGAGCCAAATGTAGGGCATCATCAAGAGTTGTTCAGAGAGAGGAAACCTGCTCCAGTGAAAGATGTAAAGCATCATCAAGAGTTCAGAGAGAGGAAACCTGCTCCAGTGAAAGGACGTCCCTATTCCCCATCGCAAGTTCCTGTTGGAGTTGGTGAAACAGCTCCTGCTGCTGCCCATACAGCTGGTGAGCACGACCCTAATTTTTCATCTGGTTTTAAGAGGAATGGAAACCATAACAATCGTTCTGGCAGAGGCCATGAATCTCATGGAGATTGGTCTTCAGGTCATGATAGCCGGCAACACAATGTAACTGCATTTCGTGAAAGGCAGAGGCAGAATGTGCATTACGAATACCAGCCAGTTGGGCAGAATAAGAATAGCAAAACCGAGAAGCTTGTAGCGTCTGGAGATGGATCTAATGATGTAGCCCCAAGATACAGAGAGAGAAATCAGAGTCAGTCAAAGCGTGATGGAGGAGATTTTCACAGGCGTCAAGGTGGTCCTGCCCGGGTCGATTCTGGTCACGACTAAAGGCTGAAATTAGGCGCCCGGTTTTTGTGAAGCCAGTCTTCCAAATATTAGAGTAGTTTGATTAATCAAGTATTCAGGTATTGCCAGCGTATATTTATGCTATGTTTTAGTTTGACCACGCACTTATTTAATCTGTTGACTAATGTCACTTGTGCATTGAGCAAGATAGTATGAATCAGGTTAGGGCACACCATTGTGGCAGGTTGTGTGTTAATGCCAGGAAATGAGATGTGACAGTATCTTCATTTCACAACTGTAGTAGCTGATTTGGATATCGTAATCTTGTTGCTATTTGTAACCCGAGGAATATTTACAGCACCCCTAATTTCTTGTTGAACCTAATACTGGTCTCTCCATGTATCTATCTATCTATCTATCTTTCTTTCTTTCTTTCTTTGTACATACGCACAGGTCCAAAACTTCTGTGAATTGGGTGGTATGGAACCAACCTAGTCCTTTTTTGAACATTTGATGAGGTGATCTGGCCGAAGTTAGTGTGGGGCATTGGTTGCTATACGTCATTGTAAACATTTTCTTGGTTATCTTTGCGTATACAGTAAACAAGATATGTGTCCTTGACAAAAAAAGGAAGGCTTTGTTCCCTTTTTCTCCTAAATCTTATGCGTTATAAACTAGATCTAAGTATTGGCCTGGATATTATGCATGTTTCCAATTGCATTATACCGGACCCAACACAATGTTTTAGATGATTTGGTTCTTGCTTATGAGTTGGTTTTCGTTTCGCACTATCTGGTGGTCTGTCGTATTAAGTTAGCGTTTGTCTAGCAATGAATAGAAGAAGATGGCGAAAAATGATTCATGCAATTGATCCCAATTTTGTTAGGGAAAATGATTAGGTGAATGTATTTAATTTTTAAACTTTTATAGCCTCTTTTTTAAGAAGATTTTTGATCAATAGGAAGTTAGGAATCTATTGACAAGGTTCATGCACATGGAAAAGCTGAAGAAAGGCATTTGGACTGGGCTGTAAGCATCAAGTCGAAAAGGTCCTCAATTTGGGTCCCCACCCTCCACGGGAACTCATGACGGTTTTAGGAATGGAATTTTTTGAGTGACTGATCATGAAATTTCTCGTCTTCTTAGAGTTCTACAAAATTATAAAAGACTTTCAAGTTTTAACGCGTTTTCATTTTTTAATACTACAATAGACTTTAATTTTTTTTTTATAGACGTTCATTAAAAATAGTTTTTTGTATATGATCATCAAAACACATCCATTTTGCAAGTTTGTTATTATGAGTAGTTTCTATAAAGGATCGGAGCCTGTGCCTGGTTAGAAATATAGTGAAATCACCTTTCATATTCCTTTCCCGTCAATAAAATGGATCCTATAGAAAGGCCATCCAATAGCGTTATGTTAGATGGGAACATGTCCTGACAAAAAAATAATCTTATTTGATGAATTAGATCAATATCATGAATAACAATATCGGGTCAAAATCCGTTTTGCATCATATTTAAGGGTCTGCTTGGGAGTTTCAATTCTACCAATTTCAGGTGGCTCCGTTTATTGGGGTTGGAAGAATCAGTGATTGTTAGATTTTTTGGGCCCCGATTTTGGATGATTTGAAAATCACCCAAAAACGGTGTAGTGCAATTTTGACCGGTTCTC